CCCCCCCCCCCCCCCCGATCTGACCTCGGCTTGGCTAAAGGATACTCTCTCTCTCACTCCTCCATGTATGAGCTCGGCTATCGCACCTGGCCACGTCTGCTCTGACTCCCACCCGGTACCTGACCTCGGCTCAAACTGACTTCCGGTAAAACATCCAAATCCTGGAAGGCTTGCATACCATGCACAGGCTCCTACATTCTGCAGACCTTTCCCCGTGCTTCTGAGTGGACCACCAACCAACACTCCTACAGGCGACCTGTGCAACTTTGGGTCTGACTCCCGCTGTCCCACTCTCAGAGGAGTCCGGAACTTAGCAACAAGGGAAGCCCTCTCTCCATTGGCCTCCATCACCAGGTACATGATAAATTACCTGCATAATGTGTATTCTTACAGTACGTAAAAATTTAGAAAAAAAAAATCAGACTATTGTCTTCTTAAGAACCTAACAATGTTTTTTAAATAAATGTGGTTTATCATTCATTTCAGTTCACTTTTCTTATTTGCCAAGTAATTTTAATTTCTATGTTGAGGGTCCCCCAAACCTGAAGTGTCCTGGGCTCCCCAAGGTCTAAATCCAGCACTGCATCTACCTTCAACCACTGCCCATGAATATGAGATAGCAGGCATACAAACTATTTTCAGATGAATTTGTTGATGATCTCAAGATCATTATGATGCAACTTCCCAACATCCCTCTTACGGAAAACAACTGGTCAAAAAGGTCTAAAAAAACTTTCTCCATTGACCACTATTTTTATGGAGATATGCTGCACTGAGAATGTATGGCTGCTAACCTCTCCATTAACATAAAAAATTTCACAAATTGTAGGCGCCACTACAAAAACTTTTTTTCAATGGTTAAAACTTTATTGTCCAAGACCACCAAACATCCTGCTGGAAACAAACTCCTCTCCCGATATGTGTCATCCTAAAACAGGGCTTAAATGTATCAACTATAAAGTTCTGCTCAACAAAGTAAGTGGTGGTGCAGTCTGCAGTTTGTGATTTGTGTAGTATTCAAGGGGTTAGGACCCATTCACAACACAACATAGTGCACTGCAATGCACACATCTTGTCTAGTGTTCGCATGAATTGTGGTGCACCAAACAGCCCTTTCAAAATGTTACATTTTGCAGCACACATAAAGTTAAAGTTGCCTTGGAGTCTAATTGCTTTTTAATGTAATTTCCATGCAGCAGGACACATAACCTGTGTTACGGTATTACACGGAGCAACTTATGTATTACTGCAGCAAAATGGTGTGAATTAGACCAAATACAGTGCAGTAATCAGCCTGAGAGCAGTGATGTTCTTTGATGGCTTCATTATTAATAACATGGAGACATACCTAAACCAGACATTTGTGTTCTGGTGATCGGTGATATCTGTACAGGAGGTGTGCATGTTCTAGTGTTGAATCTGTGAAGGTTGTGTGTTTTGTAAAAATTGTGATATTTCTACATTTAGAGATTTTTTTTTTTTCATGAATTGATGCGCTCTAGTGGTAAATTTTTCTCTCTCTTATAGTTATCTGCACGGGAGACCAGTGGAGGGAACAGCCTTTGTACTGTTTGGAGTGAAAAAAGATTTAACTGACAAGAGTCTAACAGATTCTTTTCAAAAGATTCAGGTATTTCTATATTAAATGCAAAGATATAAAAAAAAATCCTTATAAACGTTTTGATGTTTGATTCATTATTCAGAAAGAATGGTCACTAAAATTTCACCAGAACATTTTATTTCACATGGTATTTTGCTGACTGTTAGGTGAATGAGGAAATTAGTAAGATGAACTTTTTTTGTAGAAGATAAAGAATCCAATATACTGTAATGTCTTTTTGTTCCATCATGCAGGTCCTAATGAAAATACATGCTTAATACCTAAAGTTTGTAGGGTTGTAGTCCAGAGAGGTTAAGGATAATATCATGTTTTAACTGGACTAAAGAGTATATGTACAATGCTCCATGGTGTGAATACACAGTATGTAAAGTGCTGTATGAATTGTCTGCTATTTAATTACCTGTAATAAATAAATAGTATAGAAAGTTGCATTTTTCATGTGCTTTTTGAAAATCATTTGTAGTGCTAATCCCCACTAGAAACAGATAGGTTCTCCTTAAATGGTACACAGGCCATCAGTCACCCAAGCACTGACAAATTAAAGCTCAATCCAAGGGGGTGTCTTTTAGTATTTATTGCAATAGAACCTTAACAGGAGAGTGGTTTAGGGCATGGGATACTCCAAATAAAAAATCAGAAACAGCAACGAGAGCATAGATTTCTCTCTCAGAATGTCTAAGGCCCCATAGCTGTAAACCATTGGGCAATCTTTGGCAACTGGTTGCCTTATGCTTCTGCACAACTACTAGTCCCCAATCAGGTCCTTACTCAGTGTCCAAGGAGCAGTCTGTCACCCAGTCTCCACAGGTAGTCCTCCTTCAGACTCTGAAACAGTGTCCTTCAAAGTGTATTCCCTTTGTAGCTGACCTCGTAGGCGCATTTACAGCAGGTGCCCCCAGGAGTGCTGGAACCCTCCCTGAGGATGAAAGAACGGTCTACCCAGGGCTTTTATGACCTCCTCAGCCACCTTCCGGGTGCCTCCTTTCAGGGATTGACCAGGGTATAATAAATATGTATTTGGTCATTTGAATCTCCCTCTCTATGCTCTGGAAGAGTCTTCTAAAGGCAGGGAGAAGCAATCAAACTCCCAGCCCAGAGATTCTGAACAGACAAAACCAATAAACCACCACCCCTCACATTACAGTGGGACCAAAAACAAAATTTGCCTAACTGGAAGGGTGCTACACTTCCATACATTATAGTTATGCCAGGGGTGTCAAGCTCAGTTTCATTTCTGGCTGCATCAGCATTATGCTTGCTCTCAAAGGGCCAGTTGTATCTCTAAGACTATATAGTATAAATGTATCTACTCTTTATCATATTTGCATTGATTATTACTGTCAGGGCTCCGGGGTGTGACCAGAGGTATGTGACTGACGCAGGGAAACGCAGGCTTCAGATAAGTTATAAACAATATAATTTATTAAAGACTAACAATACAAACATAAAAGCAGTGCAATAAACATATAACACAGTGCAACTGAACGAACCAAACCACCCACAGATAACAGTACATACAATGCAAGCGTCGTCAGGCAGGTCGGGTCAATAACAATCGGGGCAGGTAGGTACAGGGGGTCAGGCAGAGAATGGTCGGGGTCACAAGCCAGGGATGAAAACAGGAGAAGTCAGCAGAGGTCCAGGATCAGGCAGGGTCAGCAACGAATCAGTCAGACAGGGACAGGAACAGGGATACAGGAACAAGATACAGGGCCCAGGAAAAACACACACCAAGGCAGAGACTGCAGGTCTGGCCATCCCTTAAATACACCTGCATGATCAACTTCAGGTGTTTGGCTGGCTGCAGGGTTGAGTCTCTGATTGCCGGGAGCACCCGCTGGCCAGCCCTGGTACTGCAGCCCACAAGGCAGGTGGGTCCCACCATTATTACTGGCAAGTCCATTCCTGACAATTACTTAATGACTTATGATACCAGCGGTGTGTGACCTCCTTTTCCACCAGCTTGGATTGTATTATTCTCATAATTATTAAGCAGATGTCCAGAGCATTCCCCCCCCTTCCCCTTCTTACATCAGATGTTATGAGCCTCGCCACCATCAGAAGTCAAGAGTCCCACACCCTCTCCTACATCACAGTGCACCCCCCTTACCTTATGCTGCTGTAAAGAAGCTGGGGGTGGAGCTGGGAAGCAGACAGTGCAGAGTCTGAAGGAGGACCAGAAGAGGGCTGGAGTCAGCTGCCAGAGTCTGCTAGAAATCAGGGGAGACAAGGGGTGATGTGGCTGCGCAGAAAAGCACAGGAGCTATAGGAGGAGTTCTGTCCTCCTTTTTGGATGCCAACTGCTGAGACAAGATGGGGGCATAGACGAGAGGGGTACTGAAGCTGCAGAAGAGGTGTGATGGCCACATGAAGTGTGCCCCATTCGGCCCGGAGGCCTTGTGTTTGACATATGTGTGGTCTATGGTAATGCACTAATAAAGAACAAAAAGATTCAATACGTGTTTTTGAGTGATTTTGGTAACATATTAAGGATTTCAATAATGATATTGAAAATATAGTGAGGAATGCACATGTAAAATGCACCTAAAAACACATCTTACCCTTTGTGGAATTTTTATACAATGCATTATGAATTTTTTAAAAAAACGTACGCATTTTCTAACACAATGGTGTGAATGGGCCCTCAGCATTTTTGCCATATGTGGGGAAGCACAATGGCTTAGTGGTTAGTACTGTTGCCTTGAAGCTTCGTTTGAACTTGGTCAGAACACTATCTGTTCTCCCTCTGCTTGCATGGGTTTCCTCCCACACTCCAAAGACATACTAGCAGGGTAATTGGATCTTGTTTAAAACTTACCCTAGTAGATGTGTTATATTGCCAAAAGTATTGGGATGCCTGCTTTTGCAATAACTTTAATGGCACCCCAGTCTTAGTCTGTAGGGTTCAATATTGAGTTGGCCCCGCCCTTTGCAGCTATAACAGCTTCAACCCTTTTGGGAAGGCTGTCCGCAAGGTTTAGGAGTGTGTCTATGGGAATGTTTGACCATTCTTCCAGAAGTGCATATGTAAGGTCAGGAACTGATGTCGGATGAGAATTCCTGGCTCAAAGTCTCCACTCTAATTCATCCCAAAGGTTTTCTATCAGATGGAGGTCAGGATTCTGTGCAGGCCAGTCAAGTTCCTCCACCCCAAACTCGTTCATCCATGTCTTCATGGACCTTGCTTTGTGCACTGGTGCGCAGTCATGCTGGAATAGGAAGGGTCCATCCCCAAACTGTTCCTACAAAGTTGGGAGCATGCAATTGTCCAAAATGTCTTGGTATGCTGACGCCTTAAGAATTCCCTTCACTGGAACTAAGAGGCCAAGTCCAACCCCTGAAAAACAACCCCACACCATAATCTTTCCTCCACCAAACTTTACACTTGGCACAATGCAGTCATGCAAGTACCCTTCTCCTGGCAACTGCCAAACCCAGACACATTCATCGGATTGCCAGACAGAGAAGTGTGATTCAGCACTCCAGAGAACACGCCTCCACTGCTCTAGAGTCCATTGGCAGTGTGCTTTACACCGCTGCATCCAACACTTTGCATTGCACTTGGTGATGTAAGGCTTGGATGCAGCTGTTTGGCCATGGAAACCCCATTCCATGAAGCTCTTTACGCACTGTTGGTGTGCTAATCTGAAGCCCACACAAAGTTTGGAAGTATTTAGCTATTGACTCTTCAGAGAGTTGGTGACTTGTGCACTTCAGCATACGTTGACCCCGCTCTGTCATTTGATGTGGCCTACCACGTTTGTTACTGTTGTTCCCAGTTGCTTCCACTTTGTTATAATACCACTAACAGTTGAGCGTTGAATATTTAGTAGCAAGGAAATTTCACGGATGGACCTATTGCACAGGTGGCAACCTATCATGATACCATGCTTGAATTCACTGGGCTTCTGAGAGCGACCCATTCTTTCCCAAATGTTTGTAGAAGCAGTCTTCATACTTAGGTGCTTGATTTTATACACCTGTGGCCATGGAGGTGATTGGAATACCTGAATCCAATGATTTGGAGGGCTGGCCCAACACATTTGGCAATATAGTGTATGTACTGTATGCATGTGAGGTAGGGACCCAACGTTCTGGGAATGTTTTTTTTAAACTTGCATGTGTAGTCAAATTGTCATGGTGTGATGGCAGGTTAAGAGACCAATTGCTACAGCAGTGTAAGGCTTACCTGAAACCAGCAGGGTTGGTACACCAGCGGATCCCCCTGGGAATGACGCAGGCTCACCTGAGATGCGGGGTCTAAGTATTAACCGGTTTTCCCCAGAGCTCCTAATGGTGGAGATGGAATTGGCTGCGTGTTAATACCAGGTTGCAGATCTCAGGCTCCCCCCATCAGAGAATGAACCAGCTGGAAACCGATAGTTTAGGGATCAGACAGTAGCGGAGTCAGTCACAAGCCAAGGGTCGGTCACAAATGGTAGCAGATGAGGATGAGACGAAATCGTATTCAATAACAAAGCCAAAGGTTGGTAGTGAAGATGTAGACGGCAGCAGGACAGAGAAGCGGGATATTGGCTGGAAGGCACAATAATCTGGCAAGGAGGAAGTGCAACGACATGGCCTTTTATAGGAAGTTCATGGGAGGAGCAAGGAGTTCAAGGTTCAAGACAAAAAAACAGGGTCAAGGCAGGATCATCCATCCAAAGAATTGTCAAGGGAGCTGTCCAGCATTCCAGGTGGCTCAGTGAGAAGAAACATTGCCTCTCACCGCAGAAGGCCCAGATTCAAGTCCAGGCCCTGACAGTACTCCCCTTCTCCCAGGACGTCCTCTGGATGTCTTAGGGCCAGGTTTGTGAAAAAACCTCTGGTGGAATTCTCTTGTCAATCTAGGGGCGTGAACATTCTCCTCAGGCTCCCAAGAATTTTCTTCTGGCACATATCCTTCCCATTGAATCAGATATTGTAATTTGTTCCTAAAGATCCTGAAATCAATAATTTTCTCAACCACATATTCTTCTTCACCCTGTACCTCAACAGGTGGACGAGGTGGAAGAATTCATCCAGGGAAAGGATTTTTCTGAAACGGTTTGAGTAGTGATATGTGAAAAAACAGGGTGAATTTTCATAATGTTCGGAAGTTTTAAGTGAAAGTTGACTGCAGTTTAAAGACTTCTCGAATCATCAGTTCTGCAGTCTGTTCAGCAGTGGGTACCCCCTTAACTAGAACAAAACGGGCCATTTTTGTGAGACGGTCAACAACTACCAAAATGGTGGTCATTCCTTTTGAGGGAGGTAAATCCACCACAAAATCCATAGAAATAGACCCCCATGGTCTTGATGGAACAGGGAGTGGCTGAAGCAACCCCAAAGGAGAGGCTCGGGGAATTTTATTGCATGCACAGGTCAAGCATGTGGCCACATAACGTTTGACATCTTTCTTGTACCCAGGCCACCAAATGGTACGTGATAACAGTTCTTTAGTCTTAGAAACTCCAAAATGCCCAGCAAGTTTGTAATCATGAACCAACTTGAGAGCTTCCACCCGAACAGATTCAGGTACGTAAAGTTGATGTCCCTAAATCCAAAATCCATTCTTATAAGTCAGGTTAAGGTCCTCAGGTGGATGATTGAGAAGTGGGTCATTCTCATACCTCTCTTTAAGAAGATTCAAGAATTCCTTAGGACTTGTGGCCCCTAGAAAGTTCTTTTGAGGCAAGATTGTGCATTCAGAGTTGTTCTCCTGGAGAGGCCCAGACGATATCCGTGATAAGGCATCAGCCTTACCTTTTCTTGACCCAGGTCAATATGAGATAATAAAATTGAACCTGGAAAAGAACAATGACCAACGTGCTTGTCTAGAAGACAATCTCTTGGCAGAACGGATGAATTCTAGATTTTTATGATCAGTGAAAACAGTCACAGGATGCTTAGCCCCTTCCAACAGATGCCTCCATTCGGAAAAAGCTTTCTTAATAGCCAGCAACTCCTTATTCCCAATGTCATAGTTCTTTTCAGCTGATGACATCAAACGAGAAAAATATGCACAGGGATGAAGCTGCATTTTTTCTCCTCGTCGCTGAGAAATGATAGCTCCCACGGCAGAGTCTGAGGCATCCACTTCCACAATAAAAGGTAGCTCAGGATCTGGATGTACCAATATTGGTGCAGAAGTGAAAAGAGTCTTTAGCTTACTAAAAGCAGTTTGCGCCTCAGTTGACCATGGAAAGGGCACTCCTTTCTTTGTCAGCTGTGTAATTGGCGCTATCACTTTAGAGAAGTTTCTTATGAATTTCCTATAAAAGTTGGCAAATCCAATAAATCGTTGTATTTCCTTAACGTTTCCTGGGGCAGTCCAATCCACCACTGCCTTGATCTTTTCGGGATCCATGCTCACTCCTTCTGAAGAAATGATATATCCCAAGAACTGGATCTGGGTTCATTCAAACTCACACTTCTCCAGTTTGATGTAAAGTCGGTTTCATCCTTAGCCTTTTGAATACAGTGCAGACATGCTTGCGATGCTCCTCCAGGTTGTCTGAAAAGGTGAGAATATCGTCCAGATAAGCAATAACAAACTGGTCCAACAGATCTCGAAAAACATTATTGATGAAGTGCTGAAAAAGCATTGCATAGGCCAAAGGGCATAACTAGGGACTCGAAGTGTCCGTATCTGGTTCTAAAGGCAGTCTTCCATTTCGTCTCCTTGACGCATGCGTACCAGGTTATATGCCCCCCGTAAGTCAAGTTTTGTGAAGACTTTGGCAGAGTGAAGTCTTTCCAACATTTCCGCGATTAAAGGGAGTGGGTAACGGTTCTTAACAGTGATTTTATTCAAGCCCTTAAAATAAATACATGGACGCAAAGTGGAGTCTTTTTTTCTCAACAAAGAACAGGGCTGCCCCTGCAAGAGATGTTGAGGGTCTGATAAAGCCCTTCTCCAAATTCTCATCAAGCCACTCCCTTAGCACCTTTAATTCAGGTTCTGATAAACTGAAAATGCAGCTGAATGGTATTTCAGCTCCTGGAATGTTCAATGGGACAATCGTATGGACGATGAGGAGGTAATTGATCCGCATTCTTTTTATCACAGACGTCTCGAAACTCATGATATTGTGGAGGCAGGTTGTCATATGACTGTGTAGTTACCATATCAGCCTGTGATTCCCTGATTGGTAGAGAACTTGTACCACATGGTTTCCTACAATGTTCCTCGCAATGGGGGGATGTAAAATTTATAATCCGTGCTCCCCAGTTGATGGAGGGATTATGAGTAGAAAACCAAGGGATGCCCAGGATGACAGGAAATTTAGGTGATGTAATCAGCTGAAAGCTGACGGTCTCAAAATGGTCAGCCTGAAAAATTGAAGTACCAGAGGAACGGTTTCATGAGTAACTGGTCCTGATGATAAAGGTGAACCATCAACTGTCTCCATATCAATAGGGGCAGATTTTTATTTCTTCGCAGAATATTATTGCTGTGGGCAAACTCTATGTCCATAAAGTTTCCCCCCGCCCCAGAGTCCAGCATAGCAGAACAAGGAATTTCATGGCCCTCAGTGAAAAGTTTGATAGGGACAACAAAATGAGACTGTTTAAGACCAACTTTATTTTCTTCATGGATCAATGGGGAGATAGACTGGGTAATTGAATTTATGCGTTCAGGCAGGATAACATCAGTCGCAGAAATTGTTCTTTTGACTTTAATGGGACAATTAACTGCGTAATGCCCAGAGTCCCCACAATATAAACATAAATTCTCCAAACGTCTTCTCTCCTTCTCTTGAGTAGAAATGGATCTTTTAATAGCATCTACCTGCATAGGTTCAGGTGTGTTAGAATCTGAAGAAAATGTTTAGATCCTTCTGACTGAACTGATTAGCAGAGAAACGCATGCCATCATTACTTCCAAGCATTCCCAATCTCTCCTTTCTGTAAGTCTTTGGTCAATCCGAATGCATAATTGGATGAACTCCTCAAGATCGTTAGGAGTCTCTACTATGGCGAGCTCATCCTTCACCTGTTCAGAGAGCCCTTGCCAGAACTGACTCTTTTGTGCTGCTGGGTTCCAGGTGGTATTTGAGATCTATCGTCGAAATTCAGTTGTATACTCACAGCAACAGGGCGTCTACCCTGCCGCAAACTATGCAGCTTTGCTTCAGCGGTAGAGCAATGGTTTGGATCATCAAAAACCTGATTCATCGCGGTCAAAAAGGTATCAAAATCATTCAGAATGCCATGGCTTTGCTCTATATAAGGGGAGGCCCAAGCTAGAGCTTCCCCAGTCAGAAGCCCAATAAGAAACATTGCCTTCTTTTTTCCTGAAGGAAACGCAGCAGGGTACATTTGGAAATATATGCAACATTGATTAAGGAAACCCCTGTAGTGGCAGCGGTCTCCATTAAACTTTAGATGGTTGGGGTTGAGGCATATGTGAGCTAGGATCATCTCGGTTCAGCAGTTGTCTCTGCAGAGCCTGAATCTCTTCCTGTTGCCTATCCACAATGCTTTCCAGTTTGGCAACCTTTTCTTGATCGGTAACCCCGAATTCCTGCAGCTCAGCAATTTGCTGCCTAACGTTTGCCATAGCGGTCTCCATGTTTGGGCCAGATTATTCTGTCAAGGTGTGATGTCAGGTTCAGAGACCAATTGCTACAGCAGTGTAAGGCTTACCTGAAACCAGCAGGGTTGGTACACCTGCGGATCACCCTGGGAATGACGCAGGCTCACCTGAGGTGCGGGGTCTAAGTATTAACCGGTTTTCCCTAGAGCTCCTAATGGTGGAGGTGGAATTGGCTGCGTGTTAATACCAGGTAGCAGATCTCAGGCTCACCCCACCAGGGAATGAACGAGCTGGAAACCGATAGCGGATCAAACAGTTTAGGGATCAGACAGTATCGGAGTCGGTCACAAATGGTAGCAGATGAGGATGAGACGAAATCGTAGTCAATAACAAAGCCAAAGGTCGGTAGCGAAGATGTAGACGGCAGCAGGACAGAGAAGC